AAGGCATAAAAGCAGCAGGATGGCTTCTGTGGTAGTGCTGGAAACAAAATGTTTTAATAAAAGGTGAAATAACAAACTCTTTACAGAGAAAAAACAATGCAAGTACAAGAAGCCCTCCTGCCCCTAGTAAAACAAAAGCCCCTCACAAAAGCAATTAATTTCTTTGTTCTCTTCTTTTTCTAGTAAATTGCCCAAGCAAGGCTTTTTAGCTCCTGTCCAGTTAGCTATCCTTAAGTTTGAAGTGAAGTTTTCCAAGTCCTATGAGATGCCTTTTAATCAAAAAGAGAAACTTCTGGGCTTATTTTCTTTTTAAAGGGACAAAGGATAGTTTTATCACTCCCTCACCAAGAGGCACATTCCTACAAAGCTCCTCTGTCCTTGCAGAGCCCTTTGAAGATGCCCTGCGTGTGCCCCCCTCTGTGCCTGTGGGGCTGCCCCCTGCCCAGGTCGTGGCCTCCATGGAGGAGCAGCTGAGGAGGGAGCCCTGGTACCACGGCAAAATGAGCCGCAAGGAGGCTGAGAAGCTGCTCAAGGTCAACGGGGACTTCCTGGTGAGGGAAAGCACCACCACCCCGGGCCAGTATGTGCTGACTGGCCTGCAGGGTGGGCAGCCCAAGCATCTGCTGCTCGTGGATCCCGAGGGAGTGGTGAGTCCATGGAGGGGATGGAGACTGGGGCAGCACGGGGGTCCTTGGGGTTACAAGAGCCACCAGAGCATTGGGGTTCTGCACTGCTGGGCTGGCTTTGGGCAGAGCATGGGTTGGAGCCTGCAGTGCCAGCTCTGTGCCCAGCCCGTGCCATGCAGGGTGGTAGCTGTGGCCTCATGTGGGCACTGACAGCATCCTGAGCACCCATTTTCTGTCCTCCCAGGTGAGGACAAAAGATCATCGCTTTGAGAGCGTCAGCCACCTCATCAGCTACCACATGGACAATCACCTGCCCATCATCTCAGCCGGCAGTGAGATGTGCCTGCAGCAGCCCGTGGAGAGGAGACTGTGAGCGCCCAGGGCACCCCAACGCGCAGCCTGCGCCCTGTTCCGTGCCCCAGGGAGCCCTCAGACTCTCCAGGTGCTCCACCGGGACTGAGCATGGACTTGCCTGAGGACAGGGCCTCTCTCCTTTCACCACGTGGAGCTGGTGGCCGTGGGGGGCTCAGGCTGTGAGTGCCTGCAGGGTAGGGAATTGTTCCAGCCTTTGCAGAGCAGCTCAGCTCCTACCAAAACCCAGCCCGTTCTTGTGCTCACCAGCACGGGCTCAGGACTGGCAGGGCTGAGCCCCCCTGAGCCAGAGGCAGCCTGTCCTTATCTCTGGCCCCTGGGCCAAGGAGGGGGCCCGTGGGGGGCTCTGCTCCCCCAAGCACGACGCCCTCGACTGTACCGGATCACTTTACGTGTTAACTCTGTGCCTTGACCCCGCAGGTCCCACACTCTTATGCAAGGGCAGGGGCTGGTGACAGAGCCTCCCCCGTGCTCCCAGCACCCTGTACCCCCTCCGTGACATGCTTGTGCTCCAGGACACGTTGCCACCATGTCCCCTTCCCTCCCTGCCCATGCCGGCTGGGCAAGGGCAGCTCCGGGCAGCCCCGGGGGGTTGGCGGGAGGATTCCCCTGCATGCACAGTGTAACTCCCCCCAAGCCAAAGCGCAGCCTCGCAGCCCCTGCCCCGCTATACCAAAGGAACTGGCGGTTGTATTAAAGTTGGTATTTCTCTAGGTCCTGCCTGGTGTGAGCTGGGAGGGGTCGCGGTGTGAGGTGGGCGGGTGGTTCTCCCCCGGGACCTCGTTCGTGGTTTGCCCCGTCTGGTCCCCCCCTGCCATCGCGCTGCATTTGGTTTGGTCCGACCGGCGGGTGGGGCGGGAACCTGCGGTGATTGACACGTCTGGCGCGCCCCGCCCCGCCCCTCGCGCGCGCTGTGATTGGCCCCGCGCGGGTTCCGGTTCCGCTCGGGCCATGGCGGCGACGCGCGCGCTGTGAGGGCTATGGCGGCCCCTCACGCAGAGAAGCTGGAGGGAGCGGTCCCGGCCCCGCCGGCCCCGCCGGGGCCCCCGCACCCCGCGGGCAGCGCTGCCGCCGGCGGGCCCGGCCGGAAGCAGGGCAAGGCAGGTGAGCGCAGGGGGGACCGGGAGCGGAACCGGGAGCGGGGTGGGTGAGGGTCTCCCCGGCTCCGCTGACGCGGCCTCGCTTGTCCCCGCAGGGCTGCAGATGAAGAGCCCCGAGAAGAAGCGGCGCAAATCCAACACGCAGGTAGGGCCGGGCTCGGGGCGGCGCGGGGGCCGGGGACGAGCCGCAGCAACCCTGACCGCCACCTTCTCCCCGCAGGGCCCTGCCTACTCGCACCTCTCGGAGTTCGCCCCGCCGCCCACCCCCATGGTGGATCACCTGGTGGCTTCCAACCCCTTCGAGGATGATTTCGGGGCCCCCAAGGTTGGGGCGGCGCCCGCCCCGTTCCTGGGCAGCCCGGTCCCGTTCGGCGGTTTCCGCATGCAGGGGGGGATGTCGCCGCAGGTGCCCCCCGGTTACGGCGGGGGTCCCCAGCCCCTGCGGAGGCAGCCGCCGCCGTTCGCCCCCGGGCAGATGGGCCCGGCCTTTAGCATGCCCCCCCAGAATCCAAACTACGTGCAGCCGGGGGGCTTGAGCTTCGGCGGGCAGCCCTTCAGCCAGCCCCTCGGACAGAACTTCAGCCCCCCTATGGGGCAGCTCATGCAGGGGCCCGTCGGGGGCTTCGGGCCCATGATGTCCCCCACTATGGGGCAGCCCCCGCGGGGGGAAATGGGACCGGGGCCAGCCCTCAACCCCCCCGGGGGACCAGCGGTGCCTCAGCGCTTCAGCCAGCCCAGCAACCTCTTTGGACAGTCGCCCATGCAGCGCCCCGGGCAGAACATGCCCCCGCTGCCCCCCACGGCCAGTCCCTTCCCTGGGGCGGATCCCGGCTTCCCCGCCGGCAGCGAGGAGGGCGGCAAGAACCCTCCCCCCAGCACCTTCGCCCCGGAGCAGCACTCGGGCTCGCCCGCCACCGTTAACGGGGCACAGCCCGGCTTCGCCCCCAACAGCGGCGGCCGCGGCGCCGGCACCCCCGAGAGCAACAGCCTCCCCCTGCCGGCCCCCGGCAAGGCCGGCAGCGCCTCGGGCCACCAGCCGCCCCCGGGGCTCGTCTACCCCTGCGGGGCCTGCCGCAACGAGGTGAACGACGACCAGGACGCCATCCTGTGCGAGGCCTCCTGCCAGAAGTGGTTCCACCGGGAGTGCACGGGCATGACCGAGAACGCCTACGGGTTGCTCACCACCGAGGCCTCCGCCGTCTGGGCCTGCGACTTCTGCCTCAAGACGAAGGAGATCCAGTCGGTCTACATCCGGGAGGGCATGGGACAGCTGGTGACCGCCAACGACGGCTGAGCCGCCCTTTCAGCCGCCATGTACAGCTTTCCCCACACTGATTTAGGACCAAACACCCGTTTTTTGTAGCTGTCGCCCCTCCCTGCCAGCCAGAGAGCCGCTGCTATGCGCTGGCTGTGGCTGCTCACCGGGCACTGCCTGGCACCGGGACATTCCAGGGGACCGGGGGCGGTGCTGGCCGTGCCGGTGTCAGCCCTTTGCTGTGGCCCCGGTGCACCGGCTCACTGAGGGCTGGGCTTCCTGGTGCTCCACAGTGCTGCCCCCATTTGGGTCATTACCCTTGTGGGGGGCACCTCCCGGGATGTGCAGCGCTCCTGGTGCCCCCTTCCACATTCACGGGACAGTCCCGGTGTCCCCTGCTCCGGTGCTCGGGATGCTCCCGGTACCCGCTCCCCACCCCAGGTCCGTCCGTTTTAGCCAACCGTTAATGGAAATTTTTGTACCGTCGTTATAAAACTCTGAAACGCGCGTGTCGGTGTCTGTCCGGTACCGGGGGTGGGGGGGGCGGGTGTTCGGTACCGGCCGCTGGCCCCGCCCCCTCCTCGCGACGCTGCGCCGCGGGCTGTGATTGGCTGTCGCTGTCACGTGCGCGGGGGCGGCGGCGGCGGCCCCGGGGAAAGTTCCCAGCAGGACGCGGCGGGCGCAGGTACCGGGAGCGGCGGGAGCGCTGCCCCTGCCGGGCCCAACCGAGCCAGGACGGGGCTGAGGGCGCGGGTACAGCTCGGAGAGGCCGTGGGGAGCGGGGAGGAGGGGGTTGTCAGCTACCGGGCTGGTTCTGAGTCCCGGACGGGGAACCGGGAGGGGAAGAGAGGGGCGGGGGCTGCTGGAGACCCCCGTCCGGTGCTGCCGGTTTGCTGTGGGGCGGTGGGATCCCCACCGGGGCCCCCGGTTCCCCCACGCCGGGCCCTGCGGCTCCCGTCCACCTGCTGGGTCGCATCACCGGCTAAAAATACCCCGCGGCGGCAGCTGGTGGCGGGGGGGAGCAGCCCAGAGCCGGTGCACCGGGACGGCTCCCTGAAAACTTCCCAGCTACAGGCTGGAGGGACCGGCTGGCACCGGCACCGTGGCTCTCCCGGTCACATCCAACCTGTCCTGGGAGCTGGGTCGTGTCCCGCTGTCCGTGTGTCCGCCCGTCTGTCCCCTTGCAGGTAGCGCTGGACTGTCCCTATGGCGGAGAAATTGGATTCCCGAGATTCAGAGAGCAGCTGGGTGCTGGCGGGCGGTGAGGTGAGGGCTTGCAACCCCCCTCACTGCTTGAGATCTCCAGGGCTAATCCTGACCCAGTGCCTTGGGGGCAGCCCCCCAGAGCTGGAGACCCCCGGGCACACCCCACAGTGCCCACCTGGGGCTGCAGGCAGAGTGGGCACATGGAGGTCAGGGCTAAAGGTGTCCCCCTATGTACCCCCTCCCCCAGGGTCTGCCCATTGACACGGTGGGCCCAGAGCAGGACTCAGCCTCCCACGGGTCTGACGATGAGGAACCGGAGGAGGGGGAGGAGGATGAAGGCACCCAGGACACAGTCACAGGCAGGCAGCCACCAGGGGTATGGGGCAAGCCTGGTGTCACCTTCCTGGTGTCTCATGACCTTGCTCTGCCTCTCCCCAGCTGCGACTGCCAATGGTGTCACCACCGTCCCCAGGCAGAGCTTGTGCCCTGAGGGCAGCGGGCAGGGGGTGAGTCAGACCCGGGGGGCTGGGGGTGAGCTGGAGCTGCTGGGCTGCTCCCCACACGGGGATACCCCAGTGCCTGTGTCTGCAGGAGCCAGAGCAATGTGAGGACTCCAAGGCACGGGCAGAGCCTGCCCTGGATGGCTCTGCAGAGCCCAGCATGTTGGAGGACGATGAGCAGGAGTTGAAGGCTGAGGCTGAGCCACAAGCCTGCCCTGACACCCCCCCAGCAGGTCAGGCCTCACAGGCGGCTGGCCTGGGGGAATCTCTGCTGGTAGTGTTTAGGTGTAGACCCTCTGGAGGTTCCCCCATCTCCCTCTAGGGCCAACAACAGAGGACATGTCCTGCACCAGCAGTGACGACAACATGGAGGGGCTGCGGTGGCGGCCGGGCCACAAACCCCGCCCTGAGCCCGCCACTGTCACACCTGCTCCGCAACGGGGGACACCAGACACTGGTGATGATGGGCTCAGTATGAGCACCTACCTGCTGGGGGCCTTGGCCATGGTTGTTGTGGGGCTGCTGATCATCACTGGTAAGTGGGGTCCCCCAGTGGCCAAGGCCCCAAGGGACAGGATGGGGCCCAGATGTCCCCTCATTGTCCCCTCCTCTCCCCAGGTGGTATCTACGACGTGGCAGATGGTGAGTAGAAGTGACAGCCCACCTGGGCAGGGGGACATCTCACAGCAGCCTGGACATTCAGACCCGTGTCCTTCTCTGCAGGCCCTGTGGAGAGTATGGGGAGCTGGGACGTGGCTGCTGGGGAGCAGGAGTCACTGCTGTCCATAGACAGCAATGTAAGGAGGGGTCTTGAGCAGGGCTGAGTGAGGGCAGGGGGTGTCCCCAACGCCCCCAGGGCTCCCAACCTTCCTGTCCTCCAGGACTCGCAGCAGCAGCAGCCCCCTCTGCCCGATGATGGGGGCCCTCAGAGCATGCAGTCCATGAGCCAGCTCCTGGACAAGCTGGCCAAAGAGAACCAGGAGATCCGGCTCATGCAGGCAGAGCTACAGGTTGGTGCCCAGCACATCTCTGTGCCGCATCCCAGTGCTTCTATCCCGCTGCCACCTCTCACAGCCTCCCACCCCTGCCCCAGGCCCACAAGGAGGATCTGCAGGCGCTGCTGCACAAGAGCGAGGGCGAGGCAGCGGCGGCCGGGGCGCAGCAGCAGAGCCTGGCCACGGAGAACGCGCGGCTGCGCGCAGCGCTGGAGCGGGAGGTGACGGCGCTGCGCCAGGCCCAGGCTGAGCTGCGGCGCCTGCAGGCCACGGGGGCCCCTGGCAGCCCCAGGGAGCCACGGGCAGAGCAGCAAAGTGCCACAGGTGTGCCAGGGCACGGCAAAGCCGCGGCACGGCGGCACGGCAGCCTGGACTCGCTGCGGCAGGAGCTGGCGGACACCCTGGACCGTGTGCGGGGCTCTGGGGATCTCAAGGGGCTCGTGGAGGAGCTGAGCACCCTGGAGCAGCACCTGGCCCAGGTGCTGGAGGCAGACAGGTCCTTCTCCACATCCTGGAAGAAGCCATCCAAGGTGGAGAAGGAGAGCAAGTGGCACAAGCAGCATGGTGTCAGGGGATCTCCCCATGAGCAGGAGAGGAGAGAGCAGGGCAAGGCCCACAAGAAGGAGCCCCGAGCCCCCCGTGAGCACAAGCCAGGCAAAGCCTGGGGGAAGCCGTCTCACAGCCACCCCCGGCACGATTCCCACGAGCTGCCCTGGCTCAAGCGGTACCGGGCACCCCAGGGCTGCTCTGGGGTGACTGACTGTGCCCACAAGGAGGGCCGGGAAGTGCTGGGGGTTGCCCTGGAGCCGGTGCAGAAGGTGCAGTTCCTGCAGCTGCTGGAGAGCTTCATGGGGCAGCTGGGCTTGGGGAGACAATTTGGGAGGCTGGCACCGCAGCTCGATGGCGCCTTCAGGGCCGACGGCGTCTTTGCCCACGACCGCCTGCGGTTCGTGGATTTTGTGGATGATGTGGAGGATCTGCTGGAGGATGTGGCGTGGCAGGAGCAGGGTGACAAGAAGGCAGCTGATGGCTTTGAGGAATTCATGCTGCGGCACTACAGGGGGTGAGCTGGGGTGGGCAGTGCCAGGGGTCCCCAGGGATTCCCTCCCACTGCTGCCCATCACATTTTCCCTTCTCTTGCAGCACCTCTGGGAACGTGTGGAGCCAGAGAGCCCCGAGGCAGCATGGCATGCGTGGGTAGAGCCAGGGGGGCATTTGTGTGCCAGCCCCCCCACACAAGGGCTCCCCACATGCTGTTTATGGGGTCTAGGGGTGCCGCACACCTTGTAGGGCCAAGTAGGGCCACATCCCTAACCAAATGCACTGTGTGACGCTGCACTGCCACCATGAATAAAGTCACTGCTGGGCAGAGCTGTGTAGATGTGGGGAAATGGGGATGGGGGAAAGGGAGGTGCTGAGGGAAGAGGGCTGGAGAAATGGGGGTTCAGAGGTGGAATAGGGCGTGTAAGGGGAGAGCAGAGGGGACTGAAGTGCTGTGGGTAAAGAAGGTGCTGTGGGAGGGGAGGAAGGAGTGCAGGGAGGAGGAAGGGCTGCTGGGGGAGAGGGGGTGCTGATGAAAAGGCAAAGCAGAGAGGAATGTAGTGTGTTGGAGGGGAAGGGGGTTCCTGAGGGAGAAGAAAGGGTATTGGGGGCACTGGGGGAAAATGGGGATTTAGAGAAGGAACAGTGAAGAGGAAAGGGGAGTGCTGGAGTAAGTGAGGAACAGTTGAAAAAGTGGGGTGCAGAGGGGACATAAGGATGTTGAGGAGGAAGGGTGCTCAGAGAGAAAAGAGGGTACTGGGGGAAACGGATGCTGGCAGAAAGCGGGGTGCAGAAGAGGAGTAGGGATTGTGGGGGGAAGAGTGCTGGGGAAATGCAGATGCTGGGAGGAGCAGGAAGAAAGGGAGCATCAGAGGAGAATGGAGGGTGTGAGGAGGAAGTGGGGGCAGGGGGGCAGAGCGGCAGAGAGGTGTCCGGGGTGCAGGATACCGGGGGCAGAGGGGCGCCCGGGTGTGTGGTACGGAGGGCAGAGGGACAGAGGGGTGCGGGATACCGGGGGCAGAGGGGTGCCGAGGTGCGGGATACCGGAGGGCAGAGGGGTGCCGAGGTGCGCAGTACCGGAGGCAGGGAGGGCAGAGGGGTGCCGGCATGCGGGGTACCGGGGGCAGGGAGGGCAGAGGGGTGCTGGGGTGCGGGGTACCGGGGGCAGGGAGGGCAGAGGGGTGCCGGGGTGCGGGGTACCGGGGGCAGGGAGGGCAGAGGGGTGCCGGGGTGCGGGGTACCGGGGACAGGGAGGGCAGAGGGGTGCCGGGGTGCGGGATACCGGGGGCAGGGAGGGCAGAGGGGTGCCGGGGTGCGGGGTACCGGGGGCAGAACCCGCCGTGTCCCCGGGACAGCCTCGCTGCGGTGCGGGCTCTGCCCGGCAGGGGGCGCCATAAGACGGGCGGGCTGTCGGGGGCGGGGCCAGCAGGGGCGGGGCCGAGGGCGTGACCAGGGGTGTGGTCAGGGGCGGGGCGGAGGCGCCGATGGCGGCGCCGCGCTCGGTGCTGCTGCTGAGCGGGAAGAGGAAATCGGGAAAGGATTTCGTGGCCGAGGAGCTGCGGAACCGGTACCGGGCCGGGCGGGACTGGGGCCGGGCGTGTGGGCGGGGAAGGCGCGGCGGGCGGGGATGGTACCGGAGCACGGGGAGGCCGGGACTTGGCCGAGTGGAGCCGGTGCCAGTGCCCGTCCCGCTCACTCCTCTCCCGCAGGCTGGGCCCTGATGTCTGCACCATTCTGCGCCTCTCCGGGCCCCTCAAGGAGCAGTACGCCAAGGTACCGAGCCGTGTCACACCCGCCGAGCTGTGCCGGGACATTGCCGTGCTGTGCCGGGACACTGCCGTGCTGTGCCGGGACACTGCCGTGCTGTGCCAGGACACTGCCGTGCTGTGCCATCCCACGCTCGTACCGTGACACACAGTGCCACACCATCCCGAGCTATGCCAGGCACTGCCATGCTGTGCCGTCCCATGCTCATACCGTGCCACACCGCCCCGAGCTGTGCCAGGACACTGCCGTGCTGTGCTGTGCTGTGCCATGCTCATACCGTGCCACATCGTGCCACACCGTCCCGAGCTATGCCAGGACAGTGCCGTGCTGTGCTGTGCCGTCCCACGCTCACACCGTAGCACACCAAGCCGTGCCGTGCCACACTGAGTTGTGCCAGGGCATGTGCTTGGCTGTTCTCTGCCTTCCCTGTTGCTCCGTGCTGTGCCATCTGATGCTGTGCCTTGCTGCACCACACCATGCCATGTCAGGACATGCTGTGCCACGTTGTGCCATCCCACGGCCGTGCTGTACCACACGGTGCCGAGCTGTGCTGTGTTGTGCCGTCCCATCCCTGTGCTGTGGCGTGTCACGGCAGCCGTGCCATGCCATGCCATGCTGTGTGCCCAGGCCGTGCCCACTGAGCCCTCCTTCCCCGCAGGAGCACGGGCTGGACTTTGAGCGCCTCCTGGATGCCAGCGCCTACAAGGAGAAGTTCCGCCAGGACATGATCCGCTGGGGCGAGGAGAAGCGGCGCGCCGACCCCGGCTTCTTCTGCCGGGCCGCGGTGCAGGGGGCGCTGCAGCCGGTGTGGGTGAGCACCGGGAGGGCACCGGGCTCTGTGCCGGTGTCGGTGAGCACCAGGAGGGCACCGGGGCCTGTGCCGGTGTGGGTGAGCACCGGGAGTGCACCGGGCTCTGTGCCCGTGTGGGTGAGCACCGGGAGGGCACCGGGCTCTGTGCCGGTGTCGGTGAGCACCAGGAGGGCACCGGGCTCTGTGCCCGTGTGGGTGAGCACCGGGAGGGCACCGGGGCCTGTGCCGGTGTGGGTGAGCACCGGGAGTGCACCGGGCTCTGTGCCCGTGTGGGTGAGCACCGGGAGGGCACCGGGGCCTGTGCCGGTGTGGGTGAGCACCGGGAGTGCACCGGGGCCTGTGCCGGTGTGGGTGAGCACCGGGAGGGCACCGGGGCCTGTGCCGGTGTGGGTGAGCACTGGGAGTGCACCGGGGCCTGTGCCGGTGTGGGTGAGCACCGGGAGGGCACCGGGCTCTGTGCCCGTGTGGGTGAGCTCTGGGGGTGCACAGAGGCACTGGGGGCACAGACTGGGTGCTGATGGAGGAGCCCTGTGCAGGTGGTGAGTGATGCACGCGGGCCCTGCAGCCGCTGTGTGTGAGCTCTGGGGGTTCCCTGATGCCCTGTGCCGCTGTGGGTGAGCTCTGGGGGTGCAGGGGCTCCCCGGGGGCACAGGCCAGGTGCTGATGATGGAGCCCTGTGCAGGTGGTGAGCGACACACGGCGCCTCTCAGACGTGGAGTGGTTCCGGGCCGCCTACGGGGGTGTGGTGCAGACCGTGAGGGTGGTGGCTACTGAGGAGACGAGGAAGAGGAGGAACTGGGTGTTTGTCACTGGTGAGCGAGTGCCTGGTGTGACACCAAACCTGGGGCTGCTGCCTCCACTGCCCTTCCTTGGGAGCAGGAGGCTGGGGACAAGGCCCTCACCTCTGGGGGTGAGGCCGTGGTGGGGGTGCAGACAGACACATCCTGACCATCCCTGGGGCCTCCCTGGGCTCTGTGCTACCAGGGGTGGACGACGCCGAATCTGAGTGCGGCCTGGACCAGGGAATGGCCTTTGACTGGGTGATCAGCAATGACGGCGATGAGGTGGCCCTGGGCGAGCAGCTGGAGGAGCTGGTGCAATCTGTCCACAGGAGCCTATAGCTCCATGTCTCTCCACTGGGGCTTGGGGGCTGAATTATCCCCCCAGCCCCTCATCTCCACCTCCTGCTGATGTTTCCTGTTCTGGAATAAAGCTCTGACACTGAGAACCGCTGCCACGCTGGGCCTGTGTCTCATTTCTGGGGAAGGGACACACAGGTGATCCTGCCCCACGGTCACCATGGGTTTCCCAGCTTTCAGGGGTCAGAACTTCTGTCCTGCACTTCTGTCCAAGCCGGGGTCACCAGCTGGATGTTCCGTGGTGTCTTTTAATAAGGTTTCTAGCAGCCAATTCCCTACAGATTATCTGCTTCCCAAACTCCTACACTCACATCTGCTCCTCTCCTGCAACAGCTGGGCACGGCAGGGGCTGGGGGTGCCTGGGTGGGCTGGGGGTTTTGAGGGGGGATTAGGGCCCTATATAGATCTGTGTGTATATATCCCATACTCTGGCTCTACCCCGACCTTGGGGACACCGTGGGACACACACACCGTGCCCCCCGTCCATGGGTGACCCACCCCGGGATGGGAACACCTGCTCCGGCTGCTGCTGGTAATCCCCGGCCTCTAAACGGATTAAAAGGGATCATATCAAAGGAGGGGGGATGCCCGGGGGGGAACCCAATGGGTTAAACAGATTTGGGGTCGTTCGGGACTCGCCCATCGGTGCGGCCCGGTGCACTACAAGTCCCGAACGACCCCGCAGAGATGCAGGAGCCGGGGGTGTGATCTGGGGGGGGAGATCCAAAGCGGGGAGCGGGCGGGGATGATGTCAGCCTGCGGGGAGCCCCGGCGTGGCCAATGGCGCTGCGGGGCCGGGCCAGCGGCAGCGGCGGGGGCGGTGGCGGCGGCGATAGCGGCGAGAGCAACGGAGCCCATTCATGATCCAGCGAACGGCGCCGGTGGCGAGTAAAGCGGAACCGGTGCCCCGCAAAGCGGCGCCGGTCCCGCCGTCATGGAGACATCGGGGCATCTCCACGATTCGGGCGTGGGGGACTTGGAGGAGGACGGTCGGTGTCCCTGCCCGTTACCGGGGGATGAACGGTCACCGCCGCCGCCCTCCGCGCTGCCGCCGCTCCAGCACAGCCTGTTGCACTCCTCGCCCGGGTCGCTACGGGCCCCTCCTCCTCCTCCCGCCGCCCCCGCCGCCCTCCACCCTTCCTCCCGCCACGGCAGCCAGCTCAACCTCGGCGACCACCCCGCGGGCTCCGGGGTGCCGAGCGGCAAGCACCGGCAGCCCAGCCCTCTGGTTCACCGGCGGGACAGCAACCCCTTCACCGAGATCGCCATGAGCTCCTGCAAGTACAGCGGCGGCGTGATGAAGCCCCTCAGCCGGCTCAGCGCATCCCGACGGAACCTCATCGAGGCCGAGCCGGAGGCGCAGCCCCTGCAGCTCTTCGGTGCCGGCGAACCCCCCGAAATTGTCGTCTCACGAGAGGACAACCATGCGCCCACCGCCCACCGTCCCAGCCGCCCGCCCGCCCGGCCGGCCCCCAGCACCTTTGCCAAGGGGCCCAAGCGCAAGGCACAGAACATTGGGTACCGCCTCGGGCACCGCCGGGCGCTGTTCGAGAAGAGGAAGCGCCTCAGTGACTACGCGCTCATCTTCGGCATGTTTGGCATTGTCGTCATGGTCATTGAGACCGAGCTCTCCTGGGGGCTCTACTCCAAGGTACCGGCGGGGCCGAGGGTGTGCGCGGGGCTGGCGGGGCGAACGTGGAGCCATTTGCCCCATCTGTGCCCCGGGGTAAACATGGAGCTCCTCTGGAGCGGGGCAGGGTCAGGCTGGTGGCTGGAGGGATGTTCCCAGAGCTTTCTGTAGTGGATGCCGCAGCCACAGGTGTTGGGCAGGGTGAGCACCCGGCTGGAGGTGCAGGAGTTCTGTGTTGGTGGCTCCAGCAGCAGCAGGCACCGACCCACTGAGGTTTGTGGTGCCTGTTGCTGGCATGGCACTGCACTCCTCACAAGCACTGTGCCCCCGGCCGTGCAGCGAAGCACCCCCTCCCTCCTCCTCCTCCTCCTCCTCCACACCCCTTCCTGCCTTTTTAAATTTTTTTTTTGCCTTTTTTTTCTTTTCTTTTTCTTTTTTTTTTTTTTTTTTTTTTTGCAGGACAGTGTCTTTTATTTATAATTCTCCCCCCCACGTCCCTTCCAGCAGCTCCTGCTCCCAGGGCTGCGCTGGTTGGCAGCGATATGAATAACTCTTTGTATAGACATCTGTCATGTTATTTATACTTATCCAGAGAAGGGGGGAAGGCATCGGCACCCTCACCAGCACCCATGGGCGTCAGCGGGGAAGGCGCTGCTGCCGAGGGGGCTGGGGGGCAGCCAGGGGGGTCCCGGTGCTGCCCCGAGGAGGGGAAGGAGCGGTGGGAAGGGGCTGCTCCCCCTTCCTGCCATGATCCCATGGGCACTGTCAGCACGGGAGGTGGAGGAGGGAATGCATGCAATCGGGGGTCCCTGTGGTTTTGGGGACCCTGCTGCCTCCCCAGGCTGGTTTGGGGGGTCCTGAGCCCACGGCTCAATGGGCATAGGGGGGTGCAGGCAGCAGCTCCGCTGCTCTGTCTGAGGCAGGGGCATGCCAAGCTGGCATCCTTGCCGAGAAAGATGCTTCAAAGCCAGAGCCTTTTCCTGGTGGTTCCCACTCCCCCTTTGGCAGGAGCAAAGCCAAACCAGCATCCCCCAGCTGCATCTGGTACCTGTTGAGCCGCAGCCACCCCGGCAGGCTCCGTGTGGCGCCAGGGGGATTGTCCAGGCTCACCAGCAGAGCGCTGCCATGCTCAGTGGCCCCAGCACGCCGAGCTGCTGTGTCAGCTGGGGAAGACCCCGTGAGTCAGCGCTGCTGCCATGCAGCAGCTGTGACACGCTGCTGCCCCTCTGTCACACCAACAATCGTGCTGACAGCCAGGGCAGGCTGCAGGACGGTGCCTGGCTCTGGCCTCTGCAGGCCCCTGGGCCGGATTTGCAGCAGCTGTGTGAAAATCCCCCGGTGGGAAAGCAGAACCCGGTGGCAGGGCCGTGATGACGGGTGTGGGAGTGCCTGTGGTGCAGATGGGGTGCAGGGGTGCAGCTCCAGCCCTGCCCCATGGGCCCGGCCGTGCCACCACGTGCTGCCAGGCACAGGGTGCCAGGGCTGGGCTGGGCAGCAAGGGCACAGTGATCAGGGTTTGCCTGTCAATTGGCTGTGGGCAGCACAGGGCCTCTCAATACTGCTGCTCCCACCACCTGTGTGCAGCATCCTGCCATCACCTGGTGCAGCAGGACGTGTGCCAGGGGTGCCAAGGTCCTTCCCCACTTCGGCCCAGACCCCATGTTGTTTGCTGTGAGCATGGGATCCAGGAATGGCCTTTCCTGACAGCTCTCCTCATGCAGAAGCCATTGGCACACAATTGTGACACTTGCCAGGTGCCCCACGCAGGGTTTGTGCCCCTGAGGAGGGTCTGGCCAGAGGCACCTTGGCAAAACGCTGCCCTTGGAGCTTGCCTGTTAATAGTAGTGTTTAGTCACAGCACTTTTCTTAGCACCAGCCATTATATCCACACAATTGCACAGCCAGAGCCAAGTCGTTAACAATGCGGTGCCGCCTCCACAGCAAATAGTCCCTTCTCTGCGTGCAAACAGCCTGTGGGGATGAGGAGCAGGGGAAAGAGGGAGCCAAGGCAGGCCAGAAACAGCCCAGAGCCAGGCCAGAGCCAGCCCAGCACGCTGGGGTGCCAAGGGTTGGGTGCCATGAGGGAGCTGGGCCTTGGCAGGCCGGGTGTGCCAGGCCTCAGCACGCCAGGGTGGCACTGAGGTGTGGCATGGGGGCTGAGGGGGGCTGATTTGGGGGTAACATCCCGGTGAGGGGCTGCCAATCCTCACCATCAGTGGGGCTGGCACACACATGGGTTAACCAGCTTCCAAAGGGAACACTGAATCCTGATTTTCACAGCCAGTTCAGCCATCAGGGAATCAGGGGCTGGGTTAATTTACATAAGATTAATTAGCTTCAGGGTCTGGTTGGATTCTCTGTGTGGATGCCACAACACTGGGCTCGGGCTGGATGGGGCTGGGGCACTGGAATCTCAGAGGGGAGGTTGGGAACAGCACTCAGCAAAGCAGAAAACAGAATTAAAAAAGAGTTTTTGTTTATTTTTGCTGGTGGTACCAGTGGTGGCAGTGATGCTGATGGCTCTGATGATGCCCTTACTACTGTGTCAAGCTGCTCAGGGGGAAGCTGAAGCAGCACAAGTGCTGTTGAGGATGGGATAGCAGGGAATCAGGGGCTGGTTTAATTTACATATAATTAGCTGGAGGGTCTGGTTAGATTTTCTGTGTGGATACCACAACACTGGGCTCAGGCTGGATGGGGCTGAGGCGCTGGTGTTGCACATCTCAGAGGGGAGGCTGGGAACTGCAGAACAGAATTAAAAAAGAGTTTTTGTTTATTTTTGCTGGTGGTACCAGTGATGCTGATGGCTCTGATGTTGCCCTTACTGTGTCAGGCTGCTCAGGGGGAAGCTGAAGCAGCACAAGTGCTGTTGAGGATGGGATAGCAGGTGTTGGGGGCAATATTTCCTTTGGGGTGTGGAGCCCAGTGCCAGCAGACTCCCACAGCTGTGTGCCCCTTAATGCCCTCCCTGCTTTCCCCCTGCAGGACTCCATGTTCTCCCTGGCCCTGAAATGCCTTATAAGCCTCTCCACCGTCATCCTGCTGGGCCTCATCATCGCCTACCACACCCGGGAGGTGCAGGTAGGTGCTGGCATCACCACTGAGGGGCTGTGGGCTTTGCCAACCACCTGTGAGTGGGGCACAGCACCTGAGCTCACATCCTGGAGCATCCTTCCTCTTTGGCAGGGTCTTGGGGGGCACTTCTTGGTCTGTCTGAGCCCCAGGTGCTGGGCAGATATGCTGGAGGAGACCACAGCCAGGAAGGGCTAAAGGCAGTCAAAGTGCCAAGGAAAGCCGAGAAATCCTTTCCTAATCAGGGCTGCACACTCTCTTCCTCCCTGGGAAGTTGAAGGGCTCCCAGTTTGTTCCAGGAAGGCTCTGCTTCCCTGTGCCTCGGCACAGTGCCAGCCCGCTCAGGGCCTGGGAGGAATGAATCACCAGGCAGGAGAAGGAGCATCCTG